AAATATGTATGTCAAAAGTGTAGCGATTACTATCTCAAATTCAAATCTTTCCATACCAATTACTGTTGAACCCACATATCATGCGCTGGTTTCTAATAATTATTTTGAAATGAGATATTTATGTCCAAGAAATCCCAAGTCAAAATATATTTGGAAACAAATCCTATTGGAAGACATTTTTATAAACTTTATTGAATCCTAGATTAGAGTGCTTTGTGTATAACAGTTTCAGTGTTTTAATATTAGAAATCTACATGTGAAGCAGGATAATGCACTGTTCAATTAAACTAAAAGCATTAGAGACAAGATGAAGGAAATAATATAATGGCAGGCTAGCATTGCTGTTGACACACCAAATAACATTTCTACATGATTGGAGGATTAATATATCTAGATTAGATGACCATCTGATCTCCTCTACATTTGCACTGTTGCAGAGTGTTACTTTGCCTTGATTTTACCTTCCATAAGTATCGCCTCATTTACTAATGGCTCACACGGGATGGGAGTGGCTGCACGGAGACATCTACTCAAATTTCTAAAAAGCAGCTGATTATAAATATAGGAGAAAAATGAGTCAAATTTAAAGAGAAAATCATATTATGGGTATTTTACTTGTACATTATAAACCCTCACAAGTTAAACCAAATGTGTGATCGTGTAGTGATTAAATTGTGGATATTATCTAAGAATGTAATCTTGAATAGTGGGAGCTGAGAGTGGAGTGTCAATCCAAGTGTGAAATCTCATGGTTTATAGATTTGTTTTGCAGTTATCACTCTTTCTGTGGCGTTGGGAAATGTTGGGAATCTTATCTGGGTAATTCTCCCCATTAGAAACACTTTACATTGATTATTATTTGATACATAATAAATAAAAACAAAATACACTAGCGCAGTTGCTAAAATCTTTTCATCTGATGTTTACAATGCATATTCTTCTGCAGTGATTTCTCTTTTGTTTATGTGAAACATATATAAATATTTATTAAGTCTTATGCTGATTTCTGTCCTCTACACATGGTTAATGATTTCCCTCATATAAAACATACATTTGATATGTATAACGTAGACATAAGAAGCCCTTGATTTTACTCTTTGAAACTGTTAGGGTAAAAATGACCACTTCCTGGGCGAGATGCGGCTCATTCCAGGCTTGAGGTAACTTAAAGGGGAGGAGCATCATGCAAAGTGAATTTTATTGAGCTTTATATCATGTTGGAGTGTTGCTTTGATTCTTTCATGCATATCTCCCTTGGCAGCCATTTGGGGATGCCTTAGCATCGCACTGAAGCTTCAGACCCCAGCTGAGTTTCTGCCCCACAGAGCAACCCTTTGCACATTCCTCCTTCACTCAGCTCCACCTGACTAGTGGCAGCGGCAATTAGCAAAGACCTGGTGCAACTGTGCGTCTGCTGAGTTCCTAAGAATGGGTGTAAAGTGAATCAATGGACGCCATGGAGAATCATTGTGATTATGTGTTGAAGGGAGGGGGTGCCAGAAAGGGTGAGACGAGCCCATTTGCCAAAGCAACAAATATGACTATGATGCAGTCAGACTTCTTTTAAAATATTTTTCATACATACAGCACTTTCATTACAACTGAAGGAAACAGTTTCTTGATGGTGATATAAAGTGGCACTATATGCCAGGGTAACATGTTATACTCTTTCTTTGACACAACAGAATTGCATTAGAGGTTTGAACAAGCAAACAGGGTTAAGTTTTCGACCTAGAAATTGGGCTAAGTGTCAAGTTGTTAAATATAATGTTCATGTTTGGGTTAAGATCAATTATTTATGTCCAGCCATCAATGTTTTACACATGGTTTGTCTTTGTCACAATCAGGCAATCCTAAATGATAAAAAAAAAATCAATACTTTACTTTTGCTGTATTGATCATTCAAACAAAACAGGAAAACAATCTTATGTCTAATAACACAGTATAAAAAAGGCCAGTCTTTCATCACAAAAGAGTTTGTGATGAATTTCTTGTCAAAGTCTGAATGCTGAGCATAGCTAGTTCTGGGTTATATTGTCTTGAGTGAAGAAAAACCTTTTCTACTCTCAATAAACTCTTTAATTCTAAAAACTGACGAACATTATTTATAGAATATTTTCACTGTCCTACCATCTATATCCCATCTTGTTGAAGAGTTTCAGTGAAGTCTGGCAAACTGGGTCTTAATTTTTGATTCTGTTTGATTGTAACACAACATACTTTTCATGTTTATGATATTATGAAGAATTTGAGAGAATTTTTTTTTTTTTTCAACAGAGCTCACTTAGTCGCAAACTACTGAAACTTAAACTTAAATTGTTTTAGGCAACATTTCACCAACAAATTTTAATCCATGTTACTTTCTATTATAGTGTAAATTACTTTCTACCTTCCAATACAAGATGTCCAATCTCAAGATACTGGACAGGGTTAAACTTTAAAATAGTTCCTCTGGATCACCTCAGACAGAGCCGCACATATCCATCTACATCAACAAAATGTTCAAGTTCCAGCTTGCTAAACAACACCAGGAGAGCTGTGGTGAGCCCTCCACATGCAGACTTGTTACAGCACATCCCCCATCTGCCTGCCGCCAGTTCATAGTTTGTTCTTGACATTTCTGAGGTGCTCCTAGTGGTCTGGCAGTTACTGTTTGACCAGCCTGCTCACCTTTACGACAAACACACAAATCGAACGTTCGCCGCTTGTTTGACGTGTCAGAACAGAATCGGTAAGAAGGTGATCTGCACTTGGATTGTGATACAGAGCAATTTGCATAATCTGAGAAAAAAATAATTAATGAAGTGCAAAATATGGAACATTCAATTTGCGGTGCTCCAGCAAAGCTAGACATACATTTACAAGCATAGTGGGATCTTACAACAGTCCATAAAATTATATATGCTGTTGCAAAAGTTTTCACACCTTATGAAAGTTTTGCTGTTACAACTATAACTTCAATGTGTTAATTAACATTTTTGCAATAGACAAACACAATGGAGCTACAATTCAACCTAAGCAAAACTAATATTTGTAGATGGGCTACAATAATGTAAATATAAATAAATATAAAGATGTAAAACAGCATTCATAATATTTGTCTAAAAAAATTAGTGTTCTGCTGCCTCTTAAAAGCAAATTAACATAATCAAGACACTGCAAAGATGAAGGCAATTCATTCATCTCCTCTGGTCTTAAAATGTGTGCCAGGAACCATTAACAACCTTTAATGGTTGACTTTTAATGACAAACTGTAGTCGGGGGTTTGACCGTGCAGGGCTCTAAAATGACAGAGGAAGATTTTAAAATGAATTCCAGTAGCCAATGTATGGAGATTAAAACACTAGTAACATGCGGCCTCTTTTGTGCATTGTATGAAGACCTGAATTTACTGGATGTGATCAGCTTTTTTCTGATTCAAGCAAGTAAAAAGGGTGTTAAAATATAAAGACAAGATGAAATAAGAGCATGAAAAATCATGTTTGTTTCAGCTTTTCATGCCAGAGTTTAAAGCTTAGAAATACTTTTAAAAAAGTTTTGGTTTAAGCCGTGAGAACAGCATATTAATAATGAGAGAATCAAAATTAATACCAAGGTTTCTGAGGTTTGGTTCAACAGAAGAGACCAATACTTGGTAAACAGTCTAATTCAGCCACCTATAAATGTGGCTAAATTAAAACAATTAAAAACTCCTCCACATATTTGTAAAAGACTCATTGCCAGTTATCACATATGCTTGATTTAGCTGTTACCACCAATTGTTGCTACATTTATTTAAGCTGTTAATATATGACATTTTTGTCTGATACTAGATACGGTTCATCATCCAAAACATTGAAGTGTGACAAAAAATCTACAACAGAAGACGCATGTAAGGGAAGAATTATACTTTGCATTGTTGTTTGCGGTTGCAACTTGACAAATGTGACAAAATTCAGAGTTTTGTTCAAAGCACTGTAAAAGGAGCAGCAATTTAAGTTTGCTTGAGAGATTTTGATCCCATTCTTGAAGCCATCGACTGCATCGACTGGGGTCTGTGCATTTAGATTAACGGCTCAAAACAAAAACTCTATTTACACAATGGTTGTGTAGGTAGTTTACAGCTCAGGAGCTGATAGCCCATCTGAACTGACAGCACTAAATTAGTGCTAGTATCATGGATGTGTTAGACCTGAGACCATAGTTTATCACACATACTCACCACACAGAACCACACCTTAAATCACCTTAAGAACCACGTCATTTGTGACAGACTCTGCCGTTGAGCGGCTCCACAAGTCTGATGTCATGCGATCCTGGCGGATGAAAACCCATTCATAGGAAATTCAGAAGCACCTTAATGGCACCTTTTTGAACCGCTCACCCGCGAGGATTGAGCATGAACTGTAATTGGCACAATATATCTCGCCGTATCGCTTTCTGTCTGGGATAAAAAGGGAGAGGGCCACAGGAGAGACCTTTCTCTCTAGTCGTGACACTCCAGAGGTCGCCAACATGCGGAGGCGAGCACTGCCTCAAAAATTAAAATGCATCACAGGCTGCGCTTGTAAAGCTGCCTCATCTGCACAACTGTGCCATATTTCAGTGAGGTTTGACAATCCTGGTGCTTCAGAGCTCATGTAAAGATGGTACTTTTTTCATACTTACTAAGGCCATTGTTGAGTGCTTTTTCCCCCTCTTATCTCTGCTGTACTCATTTTGGTCCCTCACAGTAATACATTGTGTATTGTCACTGACTAAAGAGATACTAATGAATCTGACTGCTTACCCTTCGTATGTATTTGAACCTAATGCATCCTCCCAGCGCTTTTGATTTGAGATGGAGGATTCTCATTCTCAATTTCCTCTGTGACAAAACTGAATGACTTCTAAATTGGGTTTTGTGGTATATCTTTCCTAATGTTGTTTTTTGAATCAGTCACAAGGTTGCAATGACTCGGATCCCATCTTTCAGTCAAGACGACACACTCTCAGTGTTTTCTTTGATTTTTCTGTTTCAGATTCAGAATGCAGATGATGTCCTGATTACTCCCTTGGAAAAATTTCGGAAGGAGCAAATTGGCGCAGCGAAGGTAAGAGACCCCCGACGTGCGCAATTAGCGATGAAGCAGCGCCAGAGATTTCATGCGACCTGACACCCTCGCCCTTTCCCTTCACCCCCCTTCGTCTCTCCCGCCGTCTGTAAATCATTAATTAAAACCAAAGCGTGACACTGCCAAGAAAAGGGGCCTTTTCCTAATTAATCTGACTAGTGCGGGTTACAGACAAAGACGTCAGTTTGTTATTTTGACACTAGAAGGCATTAACACCTGCTAGTTTTTCAAAGTTAGCTTTTTAATGTTTATTAAATTAATCGTGGCATATTGACCCAAGCAATTATTTTTGTTTTTTGGGTGACAAAGTCGCTGAGCTGCAGTTCTCTTTGCCAGAAGTTTTTTTATTTGTATGTATATAGTAATCTGTTTTACATTTTCATTCTTTTAGCTGTCTTTCCTGCTGTGTACTTCAGCTTTAACATTTTCGGACAGGTCACTAGGTAAAGAGATTCAACATTTTAGCATGACAGAGTAATAAGTGGAATTCTGTGCGTATTTGTTGAGGGAAAATAATCCAAGTACGTGCAGTAATGTCACATTTATTTTTAATAGAGATGTACATTTTACGGTGTATTTACTGAGAGGAGATCTTGGCGCAGCGCCACAAATATTTCTGGAGGGACTTAATGTACCTTCTGGCCTTGGAACACCTTGGGATCCTGTAGCAGAGGCTATGAAATGTCCTAAAGGAATTTTCTGTTTCACTGCAGCCCATTCTGTAGTTGAATGGATAACCTTCTTACTAATTGGGGTTAGCAGTTGAATCGTTATGGCAGAGGTTATGATTTATATATACTGTAACAGGATTCTACACAACTTTAACTAGTTTTACAAATCTAATATCTTGCATAAGTTTTGCATGTGTCTTCACAAATTCAACACTTAAAATATTGATGGATGGTCTGAAAGCTTACTTGGCATCTGTTCTTTTGTTTCTGGAGTTTGTAATCGCAGAATTAGCCAGAAAAATATACATGACTCCAGGTTATCAGGTTTTATTCAATCTAGCATTTTGCAGCATCATGTATGTAAGATTCCACGTTTTATAAAGTTTTATATTTTACTTGGCTAATTTAAAAATGCATTTAGTCCAGTTCATGCCATGCAATTCGAAGCAACACAACTGATGTTTCACAGATTGTGACGTCAGTAAATCTTTTTTAATTGATAAAATAAATAAATACACTTCCCATGTCTCATTTTCTTAAAATAAAACTGGGCCATGTGAAGACCTTCAAATGTCATCTCTGCAGAATTTTCTTCCTCCTTCAATACACCTGCAGGAAGGACGCATTTAATGCATTTATCCACCTTTTTAATTGGATTGCTGTAATCCTGTTACATGTAGTGCAGTCTTCTCTAACATATTGGATCTGTATGATTGATATCAGTTGGACTTGTGCACCGTGTTGCTTGAAGGCATCCTGAACTCACAGTGGACTTGTTTCTAAGGATGCCGTTGACTCTAAAGAACAGTGTGGGTTTCTTGCTACAAGCCACGCTTTCATTTCTGGCCAACTCAAAGGCATGATATGAAAGCGCAGCGGCTTGACTGTGGTCAGTCCCTCAGTGAGTTCACACATGAGCACGATGGAAGAACTCGAGCTTTCATTCTGCTCTCCAACTACTCCACCACTACCTCAATACTGTACTATGGATCATTTGCACATCTTAACATAGCTATTATCTTTTTGAGGGACTTCTCAGGCTCAAAGTCAGACCGTCTCCCTCTCCCTTCCTCAATGTCTCTCATTTTGATTTATTTTACATCCCTTGACAGCCACTGGTCTGCAGATATAGCCATCCTGCTGTACTTCATTGGTCTCTTCACAGGCCAACCTGCAGCATAATGACACCATTTCTCTTCCCTGTACCGAGGTGTGAGCATCATCGCTCTCTCTGCCCGGTCAGACTGAATAACCAATGCTGCTTCATGCCTTTCCCAAAATGAAACTACACATTTTGCTGCCATTTGTGTCTCTTTCTCTCCTACATCAACATGCTCAGTGTTATTGCTCTCACTGTCTCTGTTTATAAAATGGTTTCTTAAAAGCCACAACCCCCCTCATTACTCCCACTACCTCTTATTTCCTCCGACCACTTCCTCCTAATGGCTCTGTCCTCCTGCAGTCTTTCCTCTGCTAAACATTAGCCCAACTAGAGTGAGATGAAACGCACACATCACGGGCTGCTGAGTAACTTTTCACGGTTCCGAGAATCTGGAGAGATCCTCAGGCCATCTGACCCTTCCAGTTATTGCACTTGATGAAGTCTGAGAACATCAGTTGAACAGTCTGGGAACATTTGCCATATTTGGGCATCCTGTGTGTAATCCCTCTGAGGTTGTATACCAGCGTATTAACTTCCTAGGCACAACACTTCCACAGCTGTGATGTACCAGCAGATTGACTGCAGCTCTGTGAGACATATTAGGGACAGCCTGCTCTCCACAAGGCAGCACCAAATGTTTTGGACTTAAGCCCCTCAAACTTAGCAGTCTGCGGCCAACAAACACGGAGAGAAAATATCTGAGAAGGCAAAAATGTGTTGGCATATGTGCTGGTAGCCAAAGTGAGATGTAGGTCTGAAATCAATGTAACACTTCTTTTTCTCAGTTTCAGATATGTTTTTCTGAGATCTGAAACGTCTTCCTGAGCTTACTACAAAAGTTTCAGAATTACAACATGGAATGAAAGGTTGTTCCTGTTTTCAGTTTACAGATCCTCCATGCTGAAGCTACAACTTATAAAAGCATCAACTCACTCTGACAAATGTGGAAAATAATATGCAACTTTTCATTTGAGTCAATTTGTCTATGCATGGAAAATTATACAATAAATATGAATAGCAAAATGACAAAATATGTTTAGTTTCTTTTTCACACGATGCAAAGTCCATTTGTGTTGTCTACTTTTCAAAATGGAAAAGACAAGAAAGCATGCTAAAATAACACAATGTGTTGAGATCTTATGGTAGGAAATGACCAGGAGCAAAACAATAGTTACTTATTTAATCTCCTTATTATCATAGTCAAGCCAGTAATTGAAGAGTTTGAAACTTGAACTTAATAGGCCAAATGCATTTTGCATTTTAGATGCACAGAGACAATTTTTCCAGATTTCTGGAACTCTGTTTTTAGTCCTGAATTGCAAATACTAATGCTGAATGGGTACAATTTCTTTCTTTAAGTATTGTATTGAGAGATAAGAACTCTAAATATTAAATATTCTAAATATTTTTTTCAACTTTCTCTTCCAAGTAAGCTTTTTTTTTTTTTACACACATTCATATCAGGAGGAGAAACTATTTCATGATTGAGAGAAAACCTCATATAACAGGTTTCATTGTAGTTTTTTAAAAAAGAGGACACATCTTGACAAAGACATTTTCAACTCTTTGACTGCATTCTCCATGCGTAGTCATGGAACATGAATAACTTACCTTCACTCTAGGATTTCCAAGATGTCATAATATTTGCAAAATCATGAAAGACATAGTTTTAAAGCTCAAGAGAATAAAACAGAACGATTTTGCTGTATTCTGATGAACCTTCCTTGTCTCTGTTCATTTTTAAAAAATGTATTTAATCATAACTATTTATTATTGAACCTAAAATATGATGCATAGTAAAACTAAATTATACATAAGTCCCGCTAATTAGAGTATTCACATATTGAATGATATTTCATAGCTCCATACCAAGCAAAAGTTAAACACAATTAAAATTGTTTGTAACCACACTTTACAAGATGATTATTGTAGGATGTGTGGTTGTCAGGCAATGTGATTCCAATTACATAAAATAATAGCAACCATAAATAAATTCAATATAAAACTGAATGTATGTTGAGTCAAGATACATTAAATGTTATTTTCTAATATACAGTATGGAAAAATATATATAGAGTCTGTTTGGAATAGGACATTTGTGTAATATTGCCATATTTCAGATGTGTTGATATAAATAAACCTCTCTTTATTATGTTCTCTTATGACTTTCCAGGAATGTCCAACATAGGTTTAGTGTAGTTTATATACATACCAGGGAAGATGCATGAAAGCAATATTCTCAGTAGAGAAAATATGAATTGTCCCAGATTTAGCTTCTAACTAATTTTCATCTTCATTCCCCCTGATACTGAGGTACAATAAAAAAAAGTTTTCTTGGATTTCTGTTTACCAAACTGAAAATATCATCTGCACAATGACTTCTCAGCATAACTTTGACTTGCAATATTTCCTCCCAGTGTTTTCATTCCACCTTTGACCTGGAAGTGACTCTTGATAAAGAACAGAATGCTGTTGTTTCCTGTTAGTTCCCCTTGGTTATGAAGTTTTCCTCAAAGCCTCTGGATTTTAATAAAGCCAAATTGATGTGAAAACACTCCTAATAACAGAAAAACAAACTCACGGCTTGACAGCAGGCAAAGTTCACCTTATTGTGTTGTCTTTAACCTTCAGAGTCGGACTGAGCCACCACAATTCAACTTGAGGACACTGAAATGAAGAGAGACCATTTTTAATATCCTATTGAAAAATTGTATGACTGACCTAGTGTTAGATATGAAAGCAAGTTGGTTGTTCATGTCAGTTTTTCTGATTCTGGGGTTTTGTATTTTTTCCTACATGTTATCTCAAGGTTATGTATCAAGAGGAATATTCAGCCTGATCCTGTATATTAAAGATTCTCTACATGAGAAAGTGTAAACCTACAGACTAGGAGAGCTTGTCAAAAGGCTTTTTCAGATGCCATAAGACTAAAAAGGCTTATGAAGATTGATGTACGTGGTAACAAACAAGCAAATACAATAAGGAACAAATTGTATGCTCTGTTTTGCATTTGAGTGTTATTAAAGTTCGACTTGTTGCAAAAGCTTTTAGTGACAACTGATAAATGTTAAATTTTACCCAGAAGGTTTGCAGCTTGCCTCCTTCTAACTGTGGCCTATTTAGAAGCCTGGATGTTTGTTTTTGAA